GGGGAGACTTTGCGGAGGACGAGGGCGGCTCGGGAGTGGGAGGTGAGGGGGGCCCACCCGGGAGGACGCGCCATCCCAAGGACCAAGGCATCCTCATCCAGGCTGAGCGGGAGGCCAGCGCGGGGGCCACAGCGCCTAAGAAGGGGCGGAGAAAACTGAGGCTGTCGAAGCCCACGGAGGAGAAAGACCCGGAGAGCAACGTTGCCGAGGGTCGCAGGGTGTTTGAATCCCGGCGCAGGGTCAACGTGGCCAACAAGCAGATCAACCCCGAGCGCTGGGCGGACATACTGGCCAGAGTGCGTGGGAAAAACCTCCCCAAGGCCACAGGAGTCCCCCAGGACGTGGTCACTGCCACACTTCCATCTGAGAGTCCAGAAGGGACGTCCCTGTCCCCGGGGGGGTTTCCACCGTCCGAGCCACCCACGCGGGAGGCCCTGGACCCAGAGGAGTCCTCGGCCCAGGCATCTCTCTCTGGTGAAGAGGAGCAGGATTCCGGTACCCTCTCCTCCCCCGGGATGGGACAGGAACACGGCCACAGCTCAGTTCTCCCTGAGCCGTGGGTCACAAGCCCCAGTCTGGAAGACACAGGGACTGGAAGAGACTTTGCGGGGATGACCGAGGCCGTCGCTCCGAATGAAATGGTCCTGCAGTGGCAGCTGGCCCCCACCCCCGGATCTGAGGCCTACGAGACTCCTACGGCGAGGAACTCAGAGGGGCCGAGCGGCGGCCAGACGGCCACAGAAGCTGGGTCTCTGCCAGCAGACCTGGAACCCATCGCACAACCCAGTAGAAGGGAGGAAGAGCCTCCGCTGGACGTGGCCTCCTTGGCTAAGTCCCAGACCGTGAACTCTTTCCACCCGGAGCTGGAGACTCATCCACCCCCGGGCGCAGGGGAGGAGACTTTGGAAGACACCCCTCCCACCAGCCCTGCCAGCTCGCAGGTCCCAAGTGCACCCCCGGAGTCGCTCAAAGGAGACTCTTCAGCGGAACGCGATGTCACAGCCAGGTCTCCTGTACCGGAGAAAACGGACAGTGCCTGGCCGGGGAAAAAGACCTGGGCCACTGAGCGGGCTCCGTTCGGGACAAAAGTCATGGAGAAGAAGTTTTGGGGCGAGAGCTCCCCCTCCGGACGCCCCCAGAGGGAAGAGCAGGACAGCACCAGCTCCGGCGCCCTGGAAGCTGTGAGCACCACCTCTCCATCTGCGTGGCCCTGGACTGTCCCACGGGGGCCACTGCCGGACCGAGGAGTCACCACGGGAGCCACAAAGACGCCAAGCCCGTCGGCCCCTCCCTTGCCATCCACTCAGCCCTCCCGAAGGAGACCCAGCGGACGGAGGAGACTCCGGCCCCATAAATCTCGCCAACGCCAGAAACCAAGCCCCCCAACACCCTTCTCCTCTGTGGCCTCATCGACCCCAGCTCCAACCTCTCCGCTGTCCCAGACACAGACTTCAAAGGCAGCCTCAGGTTCCGCGGTTGCCAGCGCTTGGGTAGATGAGCGGCTGAACACGGACAAGGCACCGGAATCCGCCTCGCGCAGAAGAGGAGGGAAAAGGCCCCATCCGCGTCGGCCCAGCACCCCGGCTCCGCTGGGCTCCAGGCGGCCCGTGTCCAAGGCCAGCTCCTCTCCTGAAACCGGCCCTTCCGGCCCAGAAACTCTCCTTCCACTGTGGGAAAGCACGGGCCCAGACGTGCCGACGAGACCGGACGGGTCCGTGACGGCCGCCCCCGAAACAGCCGCAACTCCGCGCAGAGTCCAGGGGACGACGCCGGTCACTGCCCGACCTGCAGCAGATGGAGAGGCCGTGGCAGGGGACCGCGACGGCGCCCGTGGTGACAGCGGTGGAAAAGACGGTGAGCTGCTGGCCGGGACGGAATCCTCCACCCCGGCCCCCTGGGTCTCCACCCTGGGGGAACCCGAGGCTGGGTCTCCCGGAAGTACGAGCTGGCACCTCCCCAGCACAGCCCCTCCCGGGACCGGCCTAGGGGAGCACTTTCCAGACCCAGCGCTCTTCGGGGAGCCGGAGGGTCCCGATGCCGCCTCTCACTCCGCACCTGCTGCGCCACTGTCCACCTCCGTCCCATGGGGAGAAATCGGGGTTCTCACCACCTTCTCCAGTGCAACGGTGGAGCAGTCTGCGGCTCAGGCAGAAACCACCCCCAGTGGCTGGGTCACTCGGGAAAGCACGGTGGGCCGCGTCCCTTCTGAAACGAGACCACAGGACCCCCTCCCCACGCCTGCCCAGGTGGAGGAGCCGGCCGCCTCCCTCTCACCTAGGGCGCCTGCGTCCTTGGATCCCACGGCCCTGATGCCAACACCTCCAGCAGGGGCCGCTCCCAGGCAAGACCTTTTGTCGAATTCTGTGGGAAACCCAGGCACCAAAGCACCGCTAGAGAGCACAGAGGGACCTCAGCATGAAGGGAGACCCAAGGAACTGGCTACCCCTCCTCCCAAGCCGGATGGACCGGAGGCGTCTGCCAAGCGAGAGTGGGCAGAGAGAGGACTGGACGGCAGGACCATGAACAGCCCACCGCGTGGGCCAGGGAGTCACCGTCCACGTGAGCAAGTCCACACCGCCCGCCCGCCAGCCCCAGACCCGACCAGACCCACCCCCCCAAGGGGAACGCCGAGGCCGCCTCTCGGGGCCACAGAAAGCTCCGTTAGATACTTTACGACGTCCCAACCACCCCGTCGCGCCACCGGCCAGCCGGAGATCCCTGCGTATCCCTCCCGCCTTCTCCCAGACGGCGAGCCGGCCACGACTCCACCGTTACCCAGCACGATGCCAGGCGTCCCCTTGCAGCCGTTCAAACCCAGCATCTCCAGCGGGTTTCCCAGCCAAAGAACAACCCAGTTCAATGGGTACCCCAGAATCTCCGGGCACAATGACATTCCCAAGCCGAGAATCCCCGCCCACGAGCTCCCAAAGCCCAGCCTATCTCCCTATCACGCGGGCGGGAGACTCTCTGTCTTTATCAACAGGATCTTTTCTGTCCCACGGCTGGGAGTCACGCTGACGCCCCAGACGTCCACCTCCCCCGCCCCGGTAACGAGAGAAACAAAAGTCACCCCCGGTCCCTACCGTAGGTTTCCTTCTCAGAACTTTCTTCACATGGACCTGGGGCCTCCAGCACCCCCGGGATTGCAGCCGCCCCGCACCACGTCACCCCCGTGGCCTCGGTTTCAGAAGGTGCCCCCGGTCTCCACCACCCAGAGCCCCACCTTCCCGGTGACAGCCGCCGGCCAATCCCCGGGAAGTCCCCATCACAGCGCCCCAAGGGTCTCTGCCGGGGGACCGCCTGTGCCCGGATTCTGGACTCTTGGAGAAAAGCCACAAATCGTCACCAAGTCCCCCCAGACTGCGTCTGTCACTGCCGAGACAGATGCCACGTTCCCCTGCGAGGCGACGGGGAAACCCAAGCCCTTCATCACCTGGACGAAGGTTTCCACAGGTAAGACGCAGACAGGCAGCACCCACCTCGGGGATCGTGTCTGGTCTCCGGCCACTTCCTGTCTGGCATCACCCTACTTGCTGTCCACCGCGATGTGAGCGTCCTTTCCCCTCCTCTTCCTGTTCCCCTCCCCTCCCCGCCCCTCCCCTCGGAAACACACTCCTTTCTGCAGCCATTACTGGTGTGAGGTTTTTCTCCCACCGTTTTTGTAGGGAGAACACTTAAGATTTCTTCTCTTAGCACTTTTCAGAATATACTGTTGTTAGCTATTGTCAGGAGTAACATCAGTCTCTGGAATTCATTCCTCCTGTCTGCCGAAGTTTGTAGCCTTACACCAACACCCCTGGTAGATTCTGCTCTGCTTCTCTTTTCCTACGAGTCTGACTGTTTTAGTTCCCCTCTGTAAGCACCACCATGCAATATTGGTCTTTCTGCCCCTGGCCGGTCTCACTGAACACAAGATTCTCTAGGTTTTCCGTGTTCTTACAAACGGCGGAATTTCCTTCCTGTTCGCAGCTGTATAGTATTCCATCGTGTACACGTTCCGCGTGATCATCATCCGTTTGTCTATAGATGGGCACACGGTCGATTCCACGTCACAGAGGCTATGGTTACGTCATGGTGCTCTCTACCGACACATATGACGGCAAAGCTATCTGCCGACTTCTTGTCCAATGGCCATACAGGCAGAAAAGGGGTGGCTGCATCATTCGGTGCTTCTGTGTCTAACTTTTCAAGAAACTTCCACACCTTTTTAAATAATGACCTACCGTGTACGTTCCCATCAACGGTGTGTGCAAGAGTTCTCCTTTCCCGTGGTCGCTGCCCCAGTGCTGTCACAGGGCTCAGTCCGTGGTCGGCTGCTGCAAGGCAGGACCATCATGGCGGATGAGCACGGAGCAGGAAAGATGCTCACATCGTGCTGAGAAGCAGGATGGTGTTGCAAAACAGAAAGTGGCCAGGGACCAGAGAGTTGCCAAGATCCTACGTGAGTGACCCAGATCCCCTCGGAGCAATGTTTTCGAATCCTCCCGGTCGCTCGTGTTGTTAATGATAGTGGTTCTCAGCAGAGTACCGCGCTCTCTCTCTGTGGTTTAATTTACCTCTCCCTGATGGTTTAGCCAGGACATATTCTCTCTCTCTCTCTTTCTCTCTCTCTCTCTCTCCTCTTTGCTTTTGCCACTTTGAGCATCCACAGGAGGGTAGAGTGATTCTAGCAGAATTGCACACAGCTATGATCCTACCCCTCTGGGAGGCTGAGGAAGGACGCTCTCAACTTTGAGTCCACCCTTGCCTCAAAATATAGAAAAGGGGCTGGGGTGCAGTCCCGTGTGAAAGTCTTAGATTCAACCCCTGCACTGCAAAGAAAGAAAACGTGGAAGTTACGTTTTGTGTTGTTTTTATTTTTGGTTCTATCAACACGGCTGTTCGTGGATCCCTGTAGTAGGATGACTAACTTTTTCAGGAAGATGATTTCAAGGGGGACAGCTGGGTGCAGTTGAATTAGTTTTTAGTTTGTTTGTTTCTTTCTTTCTTTTTTGAGAACTGTCTGCACAGATTTGTGCTCGTGAACATGAAAATGAGAGCAGAGGTGTGCTAAGCAGTCACTCCCACGTTTCACGGCTCCTGACCACCTGCTTGCATTTCTCCTGCTCTCCCAGGTGCCCTGCTGACCCCCAACACCCGGGTCCAGCGCTTTGAGGTCCTGCAGAACGGGACCCTGCTCATCCGCCGGGTTCAGGTGCAAGACCGAGGCCAGTACCTGTGCACGGCCAGCAACCTGCACGGCGTGGACAAGATGGGGGTCCTGCTGTCGGTGGAGGTGCAGCAGCCCGAGATCCTCGCCTCTCGGTTCCAGGACGTCACGGTCTACCTGGGCGACACCATCGCCATGGACTGCCTGGCGCAGGGCAGCCCGGTGCCCCAGATCTCCTGGATCTTCCCTGACCGGAGGGTGTGGCAGACGGCGTCGCCCGTGGCGGGCAGGGTCACCCTGCACCGGAACCGGACCCTGTCCATCCGAGACGCCTCCTTCGCCGACCGGGGCGTGTACAAGTGCGTGGCCAGCAAC